ACTGCTTTTTCTGTATCCTATAAGTTTTTTTTTTTTTTTTAAGATTTACTTATTTACTTGAAAGTCAGAGTTACACAGGGATAAAAGAAGAGGCGGAGAGAGGAGTCTTCCATCCACTGGTTCACTCCCCACTTGGCTGCAACAGCTGGAGCTGTGCCGATCCAAAGCCAGGAGCCAGGAGCATCTTCTGGGTCTCCCACAGGGGTGCAAGGGCACAAGGGCTTGGGCCATCTTCCAAAGCTTTCCCAGGCCACAGCAGAGAGCTCGATCAGAAGTGGAGCAGCCGGGGCAGAACCAGTGCCATATGGAATGCTGGCACTGCAGGCAGTGGCCTCACCTGCTACACCACCGCCACTGTGCACGCCCCTCCCATAAATTTTGACATGCTGCGTTTCCATTTTCATTGTTTTCAAGTAAACTTTTCTATTTCCTTTTTGATCTTCTCTATGACCCACTGTTTATTCAGAAGCATATTGTCAAGTCTTCATTTAATCATATAATTCTAAAGTTTCTTTGCTGTTAATTTCCACCTTTCTTCCATTGTGGACAAAAAAGATAGATGACATGATTTCACTTTTTTTTTTTTTACATCTGTTGAAACTTGTTTTATTGCCAAATCTATGATCTATATGATCTTTTGCTTTTTATGTTGTTATATGTGATCGTTAATATATTTGTTTATTTTTCTTTTTTTAATATATTTTATTTAAGTTATACAAGTTTCACATATTTCCTTTATACCGTTATAGGAACATAGGGGCACTTCCCCCCTACCCTACCCCCCCACTCCCTCTCATATTCCCACTCTTAATTTCTACAGTGATCTTTTGTTAGTACACTTCCATATGCTCTCCTGCTCCCCTTTTCCCCTGCAACAAGGAATGCCCTGGGCTGTGGGCCTGGCTGGCTTTGCTCCTTTTTCTCTTTCTCTATGATGCCACACCTGTTATCAGCATCCTGCTGTGTTCTCACTGTTCTACTGCCTCAGGTCTCTTCCTTGGCTACTCACCTACCTTGTTTGGGTTTTCTTAGAGAAAGATGAGGCAAATATTGGGCTTCTCTATAAGACCTTCTTGAATCCAGAACCAAAATTTTAATGGAATTGTTGTAAATATTTGGGAAATGAGTATCAAAATCAAGTAGATTTAATTTTAATTTATTTTTCTATTTTGGGCCTAATAATGTTTTTCAAATGTCAAGCTGTGATAATATCCTAATACTTTTCCTGCTAAATTAGTCTATTGATTTCTTGCAGAAAGGGAACTTGACTAAATACTAGTTATTATAGAGAGTAAGTACATACTAAAGTATTTCCTTTATAAATTGTGCATTGCTTGAGGACTGATACCATCTCTCAGTCATTGTTTTTATGACTCTGGGTTGCAGTCACTTTGTAGGACATAAGCATTGCAGGCCTGGTGGTAAGAAGCTTACATTCCATCTTACAATCTTAGGATATTATACTGACATCATCTCATTTTACACTGATGCATTTGAGGTAACTTTCCTAATCACAATACAGTAGCTAAGGGATAGGGCTGAGATGGGAACTCAGAGGCTATGCTTTCCCTCAACTCTAGACTGCTGGGTTTTGAGCATCTAACACTTTATATTACACAAAATAAGGTCTTTGTTGATACAATTTAGTAAACAAAGAACAGAATTATAATTCTAGGGCTCTCATTAAACTAAATTTATTACCATTTTCTTTCTTTCTTTCTTTCTTTCTTTCTTTCTTTCTTTCTTTCTTTCTTTCTTTCTTTTTTAATTTTTGACAGGCAGAGTGGACAGAGAGAAAGAGACAGAGAGAAAGGTCTTCCTTTGCAGTTGGTTCACCCTCCAATGGCCGCCACGGCCGGCGCACCGGGCTGATCCGAAGCCAGGAGCCAGGTGCTTCTCCTGGTCTCCCATGGGGTGCAGGGCCCAAGCACTTGGGCCATCCTCCACTGCACTCCCTGGCCACAGCAGAGAGCTGTCCTGGAAGAGGGGCAACCGGGACAGAATCTGGCGCCCCGACCAGGACTATAACCTGGTGTGCCAGCGCCGCAAGGCAGAGGATCAGTCCAGTGAGCCGCGGCGCTGGCCCCATTTTCTTTTTAAAAGACATTACTGGGGCCGGCTCTGTGGCGCAGTGGGTTAACGCCCTGGCCTGAAGCACCAGCATCCCATATGGGTGCCAGTTCTAGCCGAGTTCAAGATCTAGCTGCTCCACTCCAGATCCATCTCTATGCTATGGCCTGGGAAAGCAGTAGAAGGTGGCCCAAGTCTTTGGGCCCCTGCACCTGTGTGGGAGACCCAGAGGAAGCTCCTAGCTTCTGGCTTCAGAAGCGGCGCAGCTCCAGCCATTGTGGAGTAAGCCTGAGGATTGGGGAGAGCCAGAGGATGGAAGACCTCTCTTTCTCTCTCTCTCTCTCTGCCTCTCCTCTCTCTGTCTGATTTTCAAAAAATAAATAAATCTGCTATATGTATTATTGGCCATTAAATTGTAGTGGCAGCTATGAGTTACTTATTCAATGTAGGAAATTCAAATGAAAAGCTAGAAAACAATGAGAACTTGTTATGCATCATTTCTGAATTAGTATATAGACAACAAAAGGGTGATTCTTAAAGATAATGGAGACTGAAATGTTACTCTGGGTTAAAAAAAAAAAAAACTGTCAGGGCTAGAAAAATGGCAAAGATGTTGATCAGCAGGATTCCTCACCTCAAAGGAGAAAGAAAACTGATACTTACCCTGAGAAAGCCATGAAGAAGATGAAAGTGAAAGTTATTAGAAGAAACTTGACTTGAAAACATCCATTCAAAGGAAAAGCAGGAAATAAATTAGCATGCAGAAATATAGATGAAGCAAAGGGTATGTTTTGAGCAATTGAGGCTTGGCTTCTGCTTGCTTCACCTCCCTTCTTTGAAAGGGGTCTAACAAGATTGTGGCGGATGCTTTTCCATTTCTCCTCACAGCCTCTTACGGGTGCAGGATGACGCTTAGTTGAGAGTAAATATAAATTGTTACTGATAGACAGCATGCAACGCTAGCAGTGAGGGTTAGGCTCAGATGTTTACATGGAAAATCACACAGTGAAACTGTAGTGTGCACTTGTATCTGGCTTACCATATCTTCATAGCATTCTTCCTGACCTCATCCACTTAAGTTTATCTGATATTCTTTCAGGTTATTATTTATGTCTTCCCACTCTCATTGGAATGTTAACTACATAAAAGTAGGGTCTTTGTTCATTTCATTAACTGCATCTAGAACAGGGTTGATCATATGGAAAGTAGTTCGTACTTATATTTTTTAAATGATTAAATGAATGATAAACTCTGAATATAAAACACTTATTAAATATCTACTTTTCAGCTTTTTCCCCCAACACAGCAATTCTGCATACCAAGTAAGTGAAACTGTTTCCCCATACTTAATCAGCAATTTTTTCTCATTCACCAGTATCTGAAACCAAAAAACAGAGGTTAGATGCCAGGGAAGTGGTTTTGTGTTGGTTGGTTGTTTTGGTTGTTGAGTTTGTACTTTAACAAGCTGAATGAAACTCACAGACACCTGGGGTAGTGAAGGATACATTTTCACAATAACATAAAAATTATTTCTGTAGCCCCAATAATAAAAATTAATAATTTGAATACTTCTGTAGAAACATTTAATTTGATTCTTTGCTGCTTGAGTATAAGATCAATTATTCAAATTACTAGAGTTCTATGAAGAAACAGAAAAGGAACAGTAGTGGACTGTGTATTGTCAAAGCAGATCAAGCCGCTGCCTGCAGTCCCATACTGGAGTACCAGGTCAACTCCACACTTCTCTGCTTCTGATCCAGCTCCCCGTTAATGGGCCTGGGAAAACAGCAGAAGATGGGCCTCTGCTACCTACATGGGTGACTTGGATGGAGTGCCAGATTCCTGGCTTCAGTCTGGCCCAGCCCCAGCCTTTGCAACCATTTGGGGAGTGACCCAGCAGATGGAAGATGTCTTTCTCCTTCTGTCCCTGTCACTCAGCTTTTCAAATAAATAAAACAAATGTTTAAAAAAAGAAGAAGCACAAAAGAACATTACAAATCTGGTCTACCTGTAGGATCCAGGTTCCACTCAGTTCAGAAACTTTCACAGGGAATTCTGACAGATCATCTGCTACAGTCAACCAAAATAAAACTCCTATTCCAGGAAGAAATCGTCAATAGCCTCCTAGCTGCACATTATTTTACTGGTTGCTGTAAATATGTTCCTTGCAAGAGAGAGAATAAAATAAGACAACATGCTACAAAGCGCTAGTGTGGATATTTTGTCCGCCCCCATGTCAACACTGGGACTCTGTATTTCTCTTACCTAGTCCAGAGTCACCAACCTTCCCCCACACAGCCAGGCTCACTGAATGCACTTTGCTAACAGATTCCTTTTCCTCAATACGTTCTTGAGACCCAAAATGATGCTCCCCACCCATACAATTCTGGCGGTGAGGTTCTAATTACTGTGTGCACACCACCATCAATAGCCACAGGATACCTCCTTAGTTTAGAAAGACACAATTACGGGGCTGCTGCACTGAAACCAAGCTGGTATTTTACAGTGTGGGTTCCTTTTTTTTCTCTCTCTCACTCTCTCCTGACATAAACAAATGTTGATGTTTACCACAAGTTGGTACATTAGTTGCTAATTAAGTTGCTAGCTGCTTCAGCCAAAACTTGCTGTCTTGAATCCAAGAAAAGAATGGCAGCTAAATCAAAAATAAAATTGTGGAGATTTTTGTTTGTTTGTTTTATTAAAAGAAAGTTGCCTATTAAAGAATATGAGGAAGTTACAGCTGGGAAACACCAACCTTTTCTCTCTGGACTTCCTCCTGGACTGAATTGGTTAAAGCCAGTCCCAGGATAGAGCTCTTTAAACACCAGCCATTTAAGCACGAGGCAGAAAAGTTAACTGCCTATCAGCACTTACTTTCTCATAGCCAACCCCCAAAGTCCCTGGGGAATAAGCTAGTTCTTGGGACGCCACAGGAGGTCAGGTTTATATTAGGAAGGCCACAGGGGTGACTTCTTCCTGGGGTACTAGGGTCCCAGGACTATGGACTGGTGTGTTCTTGGCTTCATCTCTCCCTGTCAGCGCGCCGGCAGGGACATTGCTTCCCGCTCATGTTAAGGAGCATTTTCTCTTCACTTCTCTTTCGGAAAGTCCGAAATCACAAGTTGCTCTGCCCTCAAATTTTAGCTGACAAAGGGGTGTGACGGCTGAAGCGGAACGCTGCCTGGAAGACAAAACACCGGCCCGGGAGCACGGCGGGAGTGCCGCTTGTCTCACTTGGTTCCGGGGAGAATTCCTTTTCTTGTTTCCTCTCATCAAAGGAATGTCTTCACCCGGCCGACTTAAAGGTGGCTCCTCCCCGATCACACCAGCTTCTCCGGGGGGACGGCTTAGGCGACGTCCCGGGAAGAGAATCGAAACAGAAACCAGTATCTCACCGATTAGAAAAGCCGCCTGCGGAAGGCAGGACTCAAGACAGCTCTCTCCCAGGGTGTAGAGGCCTCGCCCGGGACCCCGCGCGCCGCGCAGAGTCCAAGGGAGCCTCGTCCTCGCCCTCGGCCCCGAACTCTCCGCAGCAGCAGCCCAGGCTCCGCCCACCTGCCCACCTGCCCACCTGCCAGGCTGTCCAGGTGCGACTGGGTTCTGGGCGCTGGCCTAGGGGCCTTGCCCGCGACTTCTTCGCCGTCGTTTGGAACAACGCTGCAGACTGAGCCTGCTTCCGCAGGGCAGCTGACAGAGGCGCAGTTACCTCACCTGTTCACCTTTCCGTGGAGGGAATCCTCTCCCTTTTCCAAGGACTGAAGATGTCGAATGGTTATTCCGCAGACAAGAAGTTCCTCTATCTCCTCTCATGCTTCCGGGCCAGAGTGAAAATGTACATCCAGGTGGAGCCTGTCCTGGACCACCTGACCTTTCTGCCTGCAGATGTGAGGGAACAGATCCACAGGACAGCCGACACTTCTGGGAATGTGCAAGCAGTTGAACTGCTCCTGAGCACCTTGGAGAAGCAGATCTGGCCCCAGGGCTGGGCTCGCGAGTTTGTGGAGGCCCTGAAGAGCGCTGGCAGCCGTTTAGCAGCCCGCTACCTGAATCCTGAGCTCGCCGACCTGCCCTCGCCATCATTCGAGAACACTCATGATGAATGCTTCCAACTGCTGAACCTCCTGCAGCCCACGCTGGTAGACAGCCTTCTAGTTCGAGATGTCTTAGATAAATGCGTGGAGGAGGACCTGTTGACCACTGAAGACAGAAATCGGGTAGGTGGTATTCCAGATGGACCTGGGATTTTAGGTGATTGGCAGAGCAGGCATTGCTTGTACATCTGCCCCATTGCAATTGGCTTTTGACATCTTTCGGCCAATTTGATTCTCTTCTTGGAAGAGAGAATTTCTAGTCAATGTATGATTTTGAAAAATTAAACACAGATGTGTTAATACTCTATCCTTTCACTGAAATTAAATAAATAGCTTTAGTGATGATGTATACTAATAGGTGATGTTTATTGAACACTTACTATGTGCAATGACTACAGTTTTTGACCTATATTATCACAGTTCATGTAGATCCTAATGTTGCTAACTCTGTTTTACAGATGAGAAAACTGAGGCAGGTAATAAAAAAATCGCTCAAGGTCTTCCAGGAAGAACAATGTAGAGCTAAGACCATCAGGTCCTAAAGTGTTGAATGTTGTGTCTTATCTAATGTAGTTCCACAGAACAAAGGTCAGCAAATTATGGCTCATGGGCTGAACTCAGGCTGTTACTAGCTGTTTGCAGGCCTACAAGCTAGAGATGATCTTTAGATTTTTGAATTTTCAGCATTTGGTGTTAGTGAAGTTTTATTGAGCACAGTCATACTCATGTATACATACTGACCATGACTCTTTACTCCTGTGGGTTTGGAAAGAACCTGTTAGGCTTCCAAATCTAAAGTAGTTATTATTTGGCCCTTTAGGAATAAAAAGGTGAGAGGGACTGACTTTTTTATTAAAAGGTCACAGGGACTTAAGCCTCTACTTAAGATGTCAACATCCTGTATTAGAGCGCCGGTTCAAGTTCCAGCTGCTCCACTTTTGATCCAGCTCCCTGCCAACTTACCTGGGAAAGCAAAAGATGATGGCATTAGTACCTGGGCTTCTGCCACCCAAGGAGGAGACCAGGATGGAGTTCTTGGCTGCTGGCTTTGGCCTGGCCCAGAATTGGCGGTTGCAGTCATTTAGGGGGTAAACCAGCAGCTGAAAAATCTCTCTCTTTCACTCTGCCTTTGAAATGAATAAATAAATCTTTTTTAAAAAAGAAAAAGAGGTCAGATACTGGAAACAGTATCAGCTGTATGTTTTACACTATGCTATTTAGTGTTTTTTTAATATTTTATTTTTTATTTATGTAAAGGGGAAAATGTCATGTTTTTCACATACAGTTTTAAGAACATAATGATACTTCCCTCCCCACTCTCCTTCTCTTATTTCCACCCTTCTTTCTCTTCCTTGTTTTTCTTTTAAACTTTGTAATCTTTATTTTATTATTAAACTTTATAATCACAAGCTTAACCCTCAACTAAGTAAAGAATTCAGCAAAAAAAAAAAAAAAAAAAAAAAAAAAAAAAAACACTGTTCCTCAGGAGTATAGACACAGGCTATAAATAACCAAATCTCAAAATGTCAACTGATTTTATATTACATTTTTATATCATATTAGTTACCATAATTCAGGGGGAAAACATATTTGTCTTTTGGGAACTAGTTTATTTCACTAAGCCTAATGGTCTCCAGTTGTATCCATTCTGTTTGAAAACACAAAATTTCATTCTTTTTATGTCTGAATAGTACTTCATAGTAGTACTCCATATATATATCACAGTTTCTTTATCTAGTCTTCAACTGATGGACATCTGGGTTGATTCCATATCTGAACTAAGTACAGATAACTCTTTCATATGTTGATTTAATCTCCACTGGGTAAATTCCTAGGAGTCGAATGGCTGGGTCATATGGTAGATCTATTTTCAGATTTCTGATGAATCTTCATACTGTCTTCAGTAATGGTTGTACTAGTTTACATTTAGTCTTGGACCAAGTGAGGAAATTACATACACATACATGTATTTTTCCTCATTTTTAAAATTTTATTTATTTACTTATGTACTTATTTTTATTTGAAAGAGCATCAGAAAATGATGCAGAAAGAGAGAGCCCTCATCCACTGATTCATTTGCCAAATGCTGGCAACAGTTGGAACAAGGCCAAGCTTAAGTCAGAATCCTGGAATTCAGGCTAAGTCTCCCACATGGGTGGCAGAGACCCAAATACTTGAACCCTCCCTTGCTGCCTCATTGACTGTACATTGACAGGAAGCTGGATGGGAAGCAGAGTGCAGGCTCAAACCCAGGCATTCCAATACAGGATGTGAGCATATCAAATGATGTCTTAACCACTCATCCTAACACCTGCCCCCCTTTTTTTCTCCAATCAAAGTTTCAGCATTCTTTGGGACTAAAAATTTACACATAATTCATTGGGAAAACATATTGCTAGTTGACTTTTTCATATTAGTGAAAGAATAGTATATCTTTTAAAGGTAGCATTGTAACTAAGTACTTTGCACAGAAAAATGTTCACTGTTTCTCAAAGAGTGAAAATGTTGTGAAATATATAAATGCCTTCCTATTTTAATCTGACTTATTCAGGTTTGTAAGTAAAAAAAAAAAATGGTTTGAAAGCATGTAGGCAAATGAACTTGAATCTAAAAGCCAAAAGCTGTGTACCATGTTATGAGTTTGACATCTTTCCCTTTGGTCTTTTGATGCAACAATTGTTTATATCTTTAGTATAAAGTCTGGGCATCAGATAGATTGGCTATACTCTATGACATGAGTTGGTCTTTCATGACTAAAGTTAATGGCCCCTCGCAGACTTGACAGACACAGAACCTATCCAGAGACCAAAACATACATCTGATTTTGATGGCTAGTTTTCCAACAAGTAAATTACACTGTTGTCTGTGGCGTTTATGTCATTTTGTGTATTGAGAACCAACTAGAACGCATTATAGTAGTCCAGCTGGATATGACAAATGTGTACATCACTGTGGCAAAATCTTAATTTGGAAGAAAGTGTGCAGCCTTCAAGCCAGCTGGAGATGGAAGATGGTATTTCCAGCCACAGTAGCTGTTAGGAAGTCCAGAAGCAACAGAGTCCAGTAACACCACAAAGCTGTTTGTGTTTGGTGGGGATGATGTCCCGACTGCCAGTGAAACAGCACTTCTCCTTATTTACTCTAAATACTTCTGCCTATCAGCATCACTTTTGTCTTGCCTGGATTGAATTTCTGCCAGCTAGATTTTATCCAAGTTCTTGATTCTGGCATGCTTGGAGGCAGCTAGCAGTGATGCAAAAGGATTTGACATAAAGGAGATACAAAGAAACTTTGGTGTAATAGTTAAGACCAAAGCACCCCAGACCCTCTCTGGATTCACATTTCACAGGAGCCTGAAGAGCTGTGTATTTGGGGCTCTCTGAGGAGCAATACTGTCCATGTGAGAGTCTGGAATAATTTTACATGTATCATTTAACAAGTATTATCAGCTCCAAAAATAAGCTATGGTGGACAATGGAAGGAAGCAACCTAGTTTGAAGAATTTGTATTGATGTGAAGTCAAAAATGAATGATTATATTATAGTGGCAAAATGTGATGGGAAACCACGAAGTTTTAGAATGGGAACATATGGATTTGCTTTTTACTATGTGTGTTACTTTGACTTTACCCATGAAAATGAACACCATAGCAAATTTTATTCTCACAGTTTCAAATGATACATTATGAAGAAGCTTTATAAATAATAATGAACTGTTTTGATATGAATAAGTTGAATTTTGTTCATGCACCTTTTTAACTTTATTGTAAATTTGAAGTTTCAAGGATTTAGGTAAATCTCCTATGTTGAAATTCAGATTTGCTTCTTAAAGTTCCTGTACTAAACTGATTTGAAGGAGAAATTATTGTTTTCATGTTTAGCCTCCCAGAGTCTAACCAGGATTAAGTTGGTGCTTAATAAGTGTGTTAGATACAAGATTGATTGATTGTATATATTTAAAAAAATGTCTTCAACAAGACTCGAAAACACATGGTATGTTGAGTTGCTTTGCTGAGAATTGGGAAATGATTGGAGGGCATAGGCCCTCCAAGTTTGTTTTTTTTCCGACAGCTTTAAAAGCTGTCAATATTTAAGCTTAGCTTAACTAAGTAAATACAACTTCTAAAAATTCTTTTTATTGCCATTCTTTTCCTGTTTTGCAGTAGACATTATTCACTTGATCTGTTCTCTGAGGGTTCCCACTCCCATCTCCCAGTTTCTGTCCCCAAAAACCATGCTAGTGGTGAGAAGACAAGAGAAACACAAACAGTCCTGCTTTCCTGGAGTTTCTGCTGTAGTCTTAATCAGTGTTCATGCTTCCAACAGTGGTTGCAAAATGTCTACTGTATGTGAGGAACTACTGGAAAATGAGAGCCTCAGCACAATTTACAAGGGTCATCTTATAAATCACAATAGTAGAGTGATCCTTTTCAGTAAGCGAGTGCCTCTGTACTGCCCTCCTCTTGACATGCTGCTTCATGTCAGTTTGGCACACCCGTTGAATTAGACAGCCATCTGGAGCACAAGTGATCGCATAAACATTTCTATGCTGCTTTGATATCATCCCAACAACTGAAGACAGGTGGGTGATTCAGCCCTGGAGATCCCCACACCTTTCACTTCCTAGAACAACCAGATGTACTAGGATTGGTTCAGCTAGAAACCAAGTTTATTTCTTCCAACACAAGGTTGAGTACTCAAGTCAGCCTCCCTCCAGCTCATCAATCTGTTAGGCAAAAAAGGTAGGAAACATCGTTAATGACCTTTCCAGCAACAAAATTGAAATTTCTTAAAAATTGCACAGATAGTGTACGTACTTAAACATGCAGAAAATTATTAGCTCTAATTGTAATCGAGAATTCAGGATTTGGCCTCAAAAGCCAAATGCCCAGGATCAAACTCTACTTTTGCCACTTACTTGCTGTGTGACCCTAGACATGTAAGTATCTCTGTGCCTGGCATTTCTAATAAGTACAATGTGCTAATACTCTAGCTGCTGGACTAATACACACAAAGCCCTTAGAACAGCATTATGAACTATTCATCAATAAAAATAAAATATCCTTTGGGTAGACATGCTCTTCTGTACTGTGTAAAATGTTAGTGAAATGTTTGTAAAAGTAGATACTTTCTCAGTTGTCCATAATAATAGCTAACACTAAATTTGTGGCAGCTAACAAATTCCTGACATTAAAAGCATGTAAAAGGGCTGGGCTGTGGCATAATGGGTTTATCTTCTACCTGGGGTGCTGGCATCCCATGTGAATGCTGGTTCCAGTCCTAGCTGCTCCTCTTCCAATCCAACTCTCTGCTAATGTGCCTGGGAAAGCAGTGGAAGATGGCCCAAGTGCTTGGGCCCTGCACCCGAGTGGGAGACCTGGAAGAAGTCCTGGTTCCCAGCTTTGGCACAGCATCAGCTGTTGTGGCCTTTTTAGGGTGTGATTCAGCAGATGGAAGACGTTTCTCTCTGTCTCTCCCTCTCTCTGTAACTCTGCCTCTCAAATAAATAAATTAACCTTTTTTAAAAAGGCATGTGGGAAGGCCGGCGCCGCAGCTCACTAGGCTAATCCTCCGCCTTGCGGCGCCGGCACACCAGGTTCTAGTCCCGGTCGGGGCACCGGAATCTGTCCCGGTTGCTCTTCTTCCAGTCCAGCCCTCTGCTGCGGCCCAGGAGTGCAGTGGAGGATGGCCCAAGTACTTGGGCCCTGCACCCCATGGGAGACCAGGAGAAGCACCTGGCTCCTGTCATCGGATCAGAGCGGTGTGCTGGCTGCAGCGCGCCAGCCGTAGTGGCCATTTGGGGGGGGGGGGTGAACCAACGGCAAAAGGAAGACCTTTCTCTCTGTCTCTCTCTCTCACTGTCCACTCTGCCTGTAAAAAAAAAAAAAGAAAGAAAGGCATGTGGGATATATTTATAGCTTTAGAATTTTGTAGGAAAAAATACATTAAACAATCCGATCATACCTGTAGAAGATTGTCAATTGTTGATAAGAACTTTTGAGACTATCTAAGTCACTGTTTCTCATCTAGGTTGTTGATTAGAATCACATGAGGTGCTGTTAGCATTCCTTTTTTAAAAAAATGGGCTAACATAGACAAAATCAATCAGAATATTTTAGGGTGGATCCTAGACATCAGTATTTTTTAAGTTTCCAGAGGTGATTCTCACGTACATCTAGGATGAAGGAACCCTGAAAATTCTTTTCAGTTGCTTCATTTCCCTCGTGTGGAGACTGAGTTCCATAGAGATGAAGTGGCTTGCCTGATGCTATGGAATGCAAATGATGTGCTAATTTCTTTCTGCTCTAAACATGGCATGGTGTCTTTTCTTCAAATGTTTACTACTTTATTAGGACCCAGGGAAATTCACTGTGGTAATAACAAATTATACACATTGAAAAAGGAATTTACTAGATTAATCTGAAAGGGAAGGTAAATGAATGATAAAGATCATAATAAATGCTGTAGAAATAGTTTTTCTTAATTTTTTAAAAGATTTATATATTTTACTTGAAAGTCACAGTTAAACAGAGAGAGGAGAGGCAGAGAGAGAGAGAGAGAGAGAGAGGTCTTCCATCCACTGGTTCACTCCCCAGATGGCCGCATTGCGCCAATCTGAAAGCGAGATCCAGGAGCTTCTTCCCGATCTCCCATGTGGGTGCAGGGTCCAAGCACCTGGGCCATCCTCCACTGCACTCCCGGGCCACGGCAGAGAGCTGGACCGGAAGTGGAACACATTGGTCTCAAAGCGGTGCCCATTTGGGCAGGCAGTGGCTTTACCTGCTATGCCACAGCGAGGGTCCCTTCTTCATATTTTAAAAAAGGAATCAATGTATAAAAAATTCTTGTAATATCAAATAAAAACACATTTGACAACAATTTATATCAATAAAATAAGAAAAATATTAACTAAGCAAAAATATGAATGTGTAGTAATTACTTCATATTAGTAATAGGGAAGAAACAGAAGTTGTCTGAGAAAGATTTGATTTTTCATATATAGAAACAATGAGCCTTAGGTGTACTGAAATAAGTGGATGAAAAGAGACATAACATGTCTAGAGAGTAAAGATGCCTTCTCTTCTACGCTTGTTGAGACTGAGATAAAACCTTTATTGGCTGAGATAAAACCTTTATTTCCTCAGTGTCAGGCTTGGCTATCTCAATGGCTTACAAACAACAGTGCATGTTTAAAAGGATGCTTGGCTCAGAGATGCTTCTTTCCTGGTAGAATTCAAAGTTGCTTAAGTAATGTTGTGGTTTTCTTTAGAATTTGAATATAAAGCACTTTTTTATACTTACGCTTAATTGTTCAATTTCCCTAAAGGATAGTTTGTTGAAATTTTTCAGAAGATATTCATCTTTTTTAATTATACTTTTCTCTTAAAACAGATCTCTGCTGCAGAAAACAATGGGAATGAGTCAGGGGTACGAGAACTACTAAAAAGGATTGTGCAGAAAGAAAACTGGTTTTCCACATTTCTGGATGTTCTCCGTCAAACAGGAAATGATAAACTTGCGCAAGAGTTAACAGGCACCGAGTTCTTGGAGAGCAATGCAGGTATTTCTAATTTTGCTGTAGAAGATTTTGCATGATTTACTTAATGATTGAGAGTTTAAAAAAGACACAATGTCAGACATCAAGGTTTTTAGAAGTAAAATGTAAAATTGTAAGGGATTTGATGGATCATCTGTTTTGTCCCTAGACAAATGAGGAAATCGATGCCTTAGAAAAGATTAACATTTTGAAGATCACAACACTCAGCAAACTGGGCTAGGATATTGACAGTTGACTGTGAGTCCAACCAAAACCCTTTCCACTATCTGTCTTGTCTTGAAAACATGATGATTGCTGGGTTTTTATCAAGGCATTCTTAACGTTCAATATATATAAATAACAGGAAATAATAAGAAATAAGAAAATAATTATTTGGTCATTACAACTCGACATATCTTTCTGAACCTTTCTATAAGTTTTTAAGAAATGTATTAAGGATTTGATGAAAGGCTTGTATTTAATAACATATATCAACAATACTTAATTTTAAAAATTATTCAATAACAGTAGTAGAAATAACATCTTATAACACTTTCACATATATTATTTGTAAATCTAATCTAACCACTTTTTATAGTATGTTTAGTATGTTTCCTATATTTTCAAAATTGTCGTATTAAGATAATTACAAAGGTTAATAAGTCAATCATACTCATTGTAATCACTGCCAAGTGATTTATTTCTCTTTTCATTTAATCAGTTATTCAATAAACAAATAGTGAATTCCAGATTTCCAGGTATTGTTCTAGGTGCTGGGAATATGGAATTAAATGAGATATACAAAGTCCCTCTTCCCATAAATCATACTTTCCAATAGAATGAGGTCCAGAACAAAATTTTCTAAATTATATATGCAATGTAAAAATTGATAGTCATAGGTGACATAAAAATAAATCTGAGCCATGAAGCAAAATTACTGAACTGTTAGAGAAATACCATGTTGTTTTTGATATATTATTTTATGAAATACTTTTATTTTTGTCCAGCAGTTTTAAATACAGAAGTATTTAAATAATAAGATACTTCAAAAAGTTCATGCAAATGCACAGTATGAGAAAACAGTGCATGGATTTCACAATTGTTTTGTATGAAAATAAACATCTTTTAATTCCTGTTTTCTACAAATTATTTGAAGTATGCTTAAAAATAGATATTTGTGGGGTTACCCATTTAAAGCTGGTCAATGGAGCTTTTAAAAGTCAGACGAATTCCATGAACTTTCCACCAGCAACTTCCACTGCTTCTGCCACCATTTTCTCTGTGGGTACACACTACACACAATCTTCAAATAGTTCATGGAAAATGCATATTCTGAAAAAGTGGAAAATTTTTGCAATAAATTAAATTTCTTTTAATTCCATTTTAGTAATTTTTGAGGTACTCCGTATATGTGTTTGTGTATACATAGACAGACACACACACATTGTTAAAAAATGTTTTACACTAGAGAAATAGACACAGTCAGTCAAATATTACATTATTAATTATTTGAAAACCCTAGATAATTGTAAAATGATATTAAATCAACTCTGAGGAGTATACTTCAAACAAGATGGCGGGGCAAGGCCCTGCTTCTTCACTCAGAACAAATGCTGTGCAGTGCCAGATGCTCAAGATTGCGATGAAGTAGAAAGCTCAAGGAGACGTTACGGCTCTCCCTTCTCTCTGGAGTTATTCAAGAAGTCAGGGAGCCTATCAAACCAAAGGTGACAATCCAGCTTTCAAAAGTCAGGGGATGATTCCATGATCTTCCATGGTCTGTCCCCTACAAGTCCCAGGGCTTATCACTATTGCAGAAAAAAAGCTCTTCCCCATCACAAGTAGTACCATGTGCTTGCAACATCAAGAGAAGATATTTTGCAGTCAGGTATTATTGCCGAGGCATTTCCCCACAGCTTAATTTTAATGTTGGTTTGCTGAGTCTAAGGGCACTTCCAGTCACATCTCTCCTGCACAAGTCAAGGATGAGTCTGGGCCCCACCCCAAACCGCCCCCTTTTATGGTAAGTTCTTTTTAGAGACTTCCTGGGACTATTACTGTCCTTCACAAACACTCTAAGACTTACATTTCAAAGGGAAATGACTGCATTTTAGGTGTTTTGTTTTCCAGATCATTTTGGCCTCACTGTATCAATAGATGTTAGAAGGCAACTTTTCACGTAACACAAAACTTTGTTATGCCCACCCCCAAAGTTAGAGAGTACCTGCCATTTTACCTTTGGGTAAGTTGTTTAGGAAAGTGTCTATTGGCATGATTGTTCAGGAAAGAGCAAATCTCATGTAATGCCTGTATTATGACATTTCTTAGAACATGTGCAAAGTATTTACACGCCTTCCTTTTTACTTTACTTATAATTTCTATAATTTTGCATTATGGTTAGGTCACTGTGTATCTATTTAAAAATTACTTGGGAACTAGTTTATCCAAATTTTCCCAGCACAACTACATCTGAAGGTACTTTTGAAAGTTCATGGAAAAGAACAAAGAAAGATAAATTAGGCTAGCGGAGGGGCAGTGTCTGACCTAGAAATTAAGACGTGTTAATATGGCTGCATCCTTATGATATCTGGATTGAGGTCCTATCTCTGTTCCTGATTCCAGCTTCCTACTACTGCAAAGCTGGGAGTTGTCTGTGATGGCTCAAGTAGTTGGGTCCATGCCACCCATGTGAGAGACCGGTATTAAGTTCTTGGTTCCTTGTTTTCACCTGACCACTGTGTGTATTTGAGGAATGTACTAGCAGATGCAGATGGGAGTTATCACTCTCCCTCTGTATCTCTGTAAATAAATAAATAAATAAATGGTTTTCAAGACAGAAAAATAAATTTATCTTTTTGCAAAAATATTTTGAAATCCCCACATAGTTTTTTCCATAATGTGCACTTGCAATGAACTTCGTGAAGACTCCTCATGTACTGGCTGGCTAGAGAGAAGCACTCTAAAAGTGGGTAAAGCCTGTGGAAATAAAAGCAGTAGCATTATCTTTCTCTGTCTCCCTGGTCCCATGGGGCAGAGCTGCCTCATTTGGGGCTTCTCCCCTTCTTAACCAAAGTGAGTGGTCATGAATGCTGACTCAGCCCTGTGGGCTTTTGTGAGAGCAGTGAGCAGAGTAGAAATGAGCCTCTAGGTTTTCTTTAAAGGTTGGATGGAAAATGCCAACCATGTCTGGAACTCAGTGTTCTTTTTTCTCTGATGTTTATTAACATAAAGAAAGCAGACTTCATGTATTTCATAGACAGAACTCTAAGAAGATAACTGGGCTTGCCTCTCTTCTTCCCTTCAGTGTTCTGGGACTCTCCTACCCGTCCTTCCTGCATTCCAGCTCACTCCTGACCAACTCATTCCAAATCAACGGGACATAATTTTCATATCTTCAGGACAGTCAAGCAGGGAGTCAATGATTTAAGTATGAGTACTGTTTGTTGAAGTATACATCTGAGTAATAGCAGTCTGAGCACTTTTCCAGCAGGCCTTGGTGATAATATAATTATCTTTGTTCAGTGATTAGGAATTGCTGTGGCCTGAACTGTATCTCCTCAAAACTCATAGCTTGAACCATTAACCCTCAATATGACTATATCTGGAAATAAGGTCTTTGGAGGGAATTATATCCAATAGGACTGCTACTTTACAAGAAGAGGGAGAGAGGGAGGGAGGAGGAAAGAAAAGACAGACAGAGAGAGAGAGAGAGAGAGAGAGAGAGAGTTCACTCTGACTCCATCATGTGAGCACACTGTGAGAAGGCGACCAATTTACTCAATTCCAGGAGAGAAAACCATCTCTAGACTTTGTCTTAGCTGGCATCTTGACCTTGGACTTCCAGTCTCCAAAGCTGTGAGGAAATTTTTGTTGCTTAAGTCACCCAGTAGTGGCCTGAGCTGACCAGTATGAAATTTGGTACCAAAAAGTAGGGTTCTGCTGGAACAAAACCCAAACATGTAAAAGTGGCTTTAGAACTGGGCAGTGAGTAGAAACTGACATGCTGGCAAAGAACATGGTGGATGGTGTTCTAGTATTTTGTAGAACACAGACCTTACGAGTGATGAATGTGGATATTTAGCTTAAGTGATTTCTGAGCAAACTGTTGAAGGAGAGGCTGTTTCCCCTGGCTCCTTATGGCAAAATGCAAAAGAAAGAAAATGAATTAAAGAAAGAATTGTTAAGCAAAAGAATTCGGAATTTGAGGACTTGGAAAATTCCCAGCCTATCCCATATTTTTTAAAAAAGGAAGAAATGGAGAAAATGTGTTCTGCAGATAGTGCTGTGAGTGGCTGCACAACCATTTGAAAAAGAGATCATGAACTTAATCAGCCAGTTCAGCAACAGTCAGGAATAGATAGGAATATCCAGCAAAGGCACTGCCATTTTTAAATAAAGGTAACAGGGAATGCAGGATGGAATGAAGAAAAACTGTTGGACTTCTTGAATTCTGCTGAATGAAAACGTAAAGATATCTGGCTGTGAACAAGGAAAGAGTGACCTCAACGACAATTCAGCAATTGTAGGGCTGCCACTCCTACCTCAGGCTCAGGGACAAGGCTATTTCCATATCAGTTTCAAGGTTTGAGCTGCCTTTCTGGGTACTATGGGCTGGAATGACCCTGCCTAGTACCTTAGAAGCAGAGACACCCTCACCGAGAACTGCATGCTAGGGTGCTGCCCTACAGGGCCCTAGGGTGAATCTGCCATCCCAGTGAAGCTACAGAGCAGAGTAACAAACCCAACACAAAGAGTCTGCAGTCTCAAACCTGTTGGGATTTTCCCTGCTAGGTTTGGAACTTGCTTGAGAACCCACCACTTGTTCCTTCCCTCTTAATTCTCCCTCTTGGGATATATTCAGGAATCCATAGCTTGTCTGGTTTCACAAGTGCACAGCTGGAGAATTGGCCTCAGCATGATTCATACCTCCAGCCTAACCCATACCTGACCTGGATAATGTTTAGATGAGACTTTGGACTCCAGACTCCACAGTTGATGATGAAATAAATTAGCATATTTGGGACTGTGAAAATGTAATTAATATATTTTGCTATGAGATATTCATTTGGAGAGTGCAGGAGTAAAATATAATAGATAGAATTGTGTCTCCTAAACATCATATGTTGGAGCCCTAGCCCTCAAGGATGTTGTGTCTGGAGATAGTGTCTTGAGGAAATAAGTAAAGTTAAATGAAGTCATAGGATTGAGGTTTTATGAGAAGAGGAAGAGATAGAAACATCTCTTTGTTTTCATCACGTGAGGGTCCACAGTGAGATGACAGGTGTCTGCAACCAAGAAGAGAGACCTCACCAGGCTTCAACCCGCTGGCACATTGAGCTGGGACTTCCTGGGTTCAGAACTGTGAAAAAATAAATTTCTCAGGTGCAAGCTGCCCATTCTACTGCATGTCACTGTGGCAGCATCAGGGAACTAATGTAGAAGCCAGGACTCTGACTTCTTGGGCTTACTGAATCCTGGTTCTTCCCAAGATTGAGACTGTTGGCCAGATGCTTTCCCTCTGTGCCTCAGTTTCCCTTTCTGTGAAATACAAGTAATAATATCACTTATCCTTTAGAATTATTTTCAAGATTGGATTATTTAATGTATGTAAAGTGTTCTAAGGTGAGCACAAAATTAAATGGGCTGTTATAATCATAAACCCCAAACATGCATAATATCTGGCCGAAAACACAGCCAACTTGGATTGTTGTCTAAAGTCACAAGAGTTTTCTTCAGGAAATTCTCCACACGCAGTTGGACATCTTTTCCCCTGATGCATGAAGGTGAGCTCGTCTGAAATGATGCTGTGTGTCTCTATGGCAGCAGTCTTCTCTGACAGATTGCAGCCTTAGGAGAAGGACCAGGAACTTGTGTTTTCCTTTGTGTCACACATGAGCCCTTAAGAAAACAGTCACTACACATCGGCTAAAGGAATGAAGCCAGAAAAGAGGAATGGAAAAAAAGGAGAAAAGAAGGATACAAATATTTCATTCAATTAAAATAATTCCAAGAATGCAAAATACGTGAATTTAGGCTGACATTAAAGCAGATGTACCTCTCGTGTAGAACATACAGTGAGTGAACAAAATGGCATGAGCACAGACTAAAGGGAAACTTCCAACTCTGCATTTTCATTAGTTCAGGCTCAGATGTGGCTTTGTGTAACTGAGTAAGTGACTTACTCCTTAAAGGTCATGGTCAGACAGGAAATCATCTCCCTGTCTTTGTGTTTAACATTATACTTAATTATTTTCTTTTTATATTAAATTAAATGATTACAAGGAATCATTCACTATGTCCATATTTAATATAAATATACCATGTCATAACAAAAAACATTCTAAATCTTTCAAAACTTCAAAGTATTAATATTTATTAAAGCAAATTTCTAATGAGGATCCTTGTTTTTTAAAAAAAAAAACAACAAAAGCTTTCATATTGTACAAAACCAGTCATTGCAAAAAAATTTATACTCTGTTCATATTTCAAATTGTTTAAGCATATTCAGGTAACCTCTGTTTACTACTCTCATTTTGTTCTAAAAATTACAGTAACAGTTATGCTCACTGTATAAAAAACTTGCCTAACACTATCATGTACATTCTAAACTTTTACTCACAGAGGCTGAAAATGTATCACAAGAAGATGGTCCTGAAGTTCAAGAGCTGCTTTATTCAACCGCAGATCAGCCAAGTCCAGAGAAAGAGGGATGGGACATGGAGAACAATTCATCAGAGTCATCCTTTGCAGATTCTTCTGTGGTTTCAGGTATTTGGATCATGTACAAACTTTATATATACAATTGCTACTTCTAAAAAATTCCATTAGTGTACTGAGGGTTTCACAACCTAATAAACAAAGAGAAAATTTGGGCATTGGGGTTTGTGAGCACTTTTATTAAAAATAATATGTTTATAAGTGATTAAATTGAAATGATTCCCCCTTGACCAAATTTTTTAAGTAAATACAATATCAATGTATTATAAATATGAACACTTTTCTTCCAATTTTACATTACAAAAAAAAATCCATGGTCATTCCAATGTGATAAGTGTCAAAAGGTATACCCTGTTTCCATGGTTTCCAAAGTGCTTTCAAATAAATTATTCAGTTTAATTCACCCCAAACCCTAAAAGTTAAATGGGGTCATTATTTTTTCAACTGTTTGACAAACTAGAATGTTCCGAGTGGTTTAGTGGAGTTACAGAGAGCAAAACCGAGGCTACAAAATGGAAGACAAAACAAATGCTGAATTAAGGCTGGCTTGAATTGGTGTGAGAACAACAGGCCATAATGTTTACTTTTCAGATACTGAAATTGCCCTGGAAGAACGCAACTAATTTAATTATATCCCTCTCTCTAATTTGTTTATGGCTGGAGAATCTTCCTTTCCATTTGCCTCCCCAAGGACCACGTTTCCACAAGAAATAGTTGCTTGAAGTCTGTGCTGTGCTGTCTGGCTGCCATGCTTTCTGGGTGGGCTTCCCAAGGGTTGACACGATGACATTTCACACTCACAGTGAAATCTTAAGAGGGTGGAAACCTTATCTGACTGTGGTGTTTGCAGACAGGGCATTTTGGGTGGCGGTGGTGATGAGGTTCATCAGGATGGGTTTTGAACACTGTGGCTCCTTAAGAAGAGAGACCAGGGGAGGCACACATGTGTACACACAAACACACACACACACACACAGGGTCTCTTACCATGAGATACTCTGCCCTGTCTTAGACTCTTCCAGCAAGAAAGCCGTCACCAGATGCAGAGCCTTGAAACTCTACAGCTGTGAGCTAAATGAACCTCTTTTCTTTATATAGTTACCCAGTCTCAAATATTTCATTACAGCAACACAAATGGACTGACACTAGGGAAAAGGAAAAAAGTCTCGAGTGATAGCATGTGCCAGTCTCTGTGGTGTAAGTACTCCCACAAGGGCTTATTTCAAGTTTCCAAAATAAGGTCACAGGAGACAAGGCTGGGAAGGGAGGTGCAGTAGCACACCGTTGTATAGTAATTCCCCCATTCAGATACCAGAGGTCTGTATAGCCTCAAGATGGCAGATAAGAGTGGATGAATAAAATGACCAGGAAGTCACAAGTTCTATGTTTATTACCATCATTTTAATATAATTTACTTTGTTATAAGCTTATGTAATTTAGTTGTTCAAAAGATTTCTGTATCTGAAAGGCAACTGCAGAGAGAGACAGAGACAGAGAGATCTTCCATCTGCTAGGTTCACCCTCAAATGGCAGCAAAGGTTAAGGCTGGGTCAGACCAAAGCCAGGAGTCTGGAACTCCATCAGAGTCTCCTATTTGGGTGGCAGGGGCCCAAGCACTAGAGCCATCTTCCACTGCTTCCCCAGGCACATTAGCAGGGAGCTGGATCAGAAGTGGAGCAGCCTGAACATGAACTTTTGCTTCACTGTGGGATGCTGGTGTCCTGGATAGCAGCTTAACTTGCTGTGCCACAATGCAGACTCCTAATTTAGATTTTTAAGAAATAGCTATTTAACAACTGGCTCTGAAAATTCAACAGTTGGCTCCTGTGAGCCAGTATAAACTAATTCCAGGACATCACTGCAAAGTTTATTACTTTCTACTCAGAAAAGTATTAAATCTCCATTGAAGGAGATTTCAGATGCATGTATACACGCAAAGAAGTCACCCATATTCCTACAGAGCTTATACATAGTGCACATGATATTGGGGTATCTGTCTTTTTTTTTTTTTTTGACAGGCAGAGTGGACAGTGAGAGAGAGAGACAGAGAGAAAGGTTCCTTTGCCATTGGTTCACCCTCCAATGGCCTCCGCGCTGCAGCCGGCGCACCGAGCTGATCCGAAGCCAGGAGCCAGGTACTAATCCTGGTCTCCCATGGGGTACAGGGCCCAAGGACTTGGGCCATCCTCCACTGTACTCCCTGGCCACAGCAGAGAGCTGGCCTGGAAGAGGGGCAACCGGGACAGAATCCGGGAATCCTGACCGGGACTAGGACCCGGTGTGCTGGCGCCACAAGGTGGAGGATTAGCCTATTGAGCCTCGGCGCCAGCCTATGTCTTATGTCTTTTTACATGCTAAGATGTATATTTACAATGGATAGTCATTAGCTATCATTTCACAGTATTTAAAACAATCTCTTTTGTTTATTTTGATCTTCTTGAAAGACAGCATGACAGAAAGAGAAAGAGGGAAAAAGAGACAGAGACAGAGACAGAGAGAGAGAGATCTCCCATTTACTGGTTCACTCCCCAGATGCCCACAACAGCCAGGGATGTACCAAAGCCAGGAGCCAGGAACTCTGTTCAAGTGGCAGGAGCCCAAGCACTTGAGCCATTATCCACTGCTTCCCAGGCACAACAGCAGAGAGCTAGATTGGTAGTGGGGTGGCTGGGACTCCAAGTGGAACTCAGATGTGAGATGCCTGCATTCCAAGTGGCAGCATAACCAACTGGGCCACAGTGCCCACCTCCTACAGCATGGTTTTTAATGATTAAATAATAGTCCTATAATAATAGTAAATAATTAAGTAAATAATAGTAAATAATAGCATTTGAATTCAGTATAATTAATTAACCAATTGTTGAACATTTAGGATGTTTCTCAATCACTACATCATAAATAATGCATTGCTAGCTCTCATATGTATGTCACAGTTACTTCTTAAAAATACTACATGATTAGAATGTCTGATTTATACAATTTTAGCACATTTGATACTTAATGTCAAATTTCACTCCAGGAACTTGTAACTAGAGTGAATTAATGTGTTCTCCAACAGTAAGGGAGAATGATTTTTCCCTGAATTTTCTTGTATAAGTCCTAACATCACTTTCAATATTTGCTAATTAGATGGTTATAAAATGGTATTTTGTTATTTGAATTTTTTTTTTGTTTCTATTGAAATGTTTTTCCACATTATTAACTTTGTGACTGTGTGGTTGATTACTTACTCATTTTCCCATCAGGCTATTTATATTCTTGCTGGCTTCTATGAACTCTCTAAACATACAGCAATCATTTGTCACACATAGTACCAATAGTACCAATATTTTTTATGGTTTGCTTACATTTTAGCTTGTGTAGGTGTGTAGGTGTTTGCTTTTTTTTTTTTTTTTTTTTAAATTTGAAAGAGCTACAGACAGAGAGGGAGAGGCAGAGATAGAGAGATCTGTCTGCTGTTCACTCATCAGATAGCCACAATGGCCAGGGCTGAGCCAGGCTAAAGCCAGGAGCCAGGAATTACATCCACTTGTACCACATGGGTACCAGGGGCCAAAGTACTTGGGCCATCTTCTGCTGGCCATTAGCAGGGAGCTGGAATGGAAGCGGAGTAGAACCACTGCCACGTCACAGGCGGGGCAGCTTTACCTGCTATGCCACAATGCTGGCCCAGGTGTTTGCTTTTTTGATACAGTGTTTCTGAGGATTTGCTATTTAATAAACCACCTGGAGAATGGGATCTTACTGCAATGCAAATTCGGATCCAATAGCTCCCGAGTGGGGCCTGAGATCCTACTTTTCCCACTAGTTGCTGCTATTGGTCCTGGATCACCCTTTAGGTAATGAGGGTGCATGTACAGGAATAGTCAAGCTGCTCAACTTGAATTCTGGAGGACACTTTTTGCTTTTCTGTTGAGGAGCTGCACTGCCCCTCAGAAATCATGGGCTGCTCTCTGAATGTGAGACTTCCATGTTTTGATAAACTTCCTTGGTAGGCCACTTGACACCTCTGTAGATTGGCGACTGTTTCCTAAATCACAGAGAAAGACTTGAAGACAGAGCCGAGGCTGGGAGATGATCTTGTGTCTGAGACGAAGGTATTCACCAAAAATTGCCAGACATAGCTCATCAGCTTAGAGTTTGTCAAGTCTGGCTTTCAAAGCAGACAAAATTCAAGGCAAATGCTCAGCTGGCGCCGCGGCTCACTAGGCTAATCCTCCGCCTAGCGGCGCTGGCACACCGGGTTCTAGTCCCGGTCGGGGCGCCGGATTCTGTCCCGGTTGCCCCTCTTCCAGGCCAGCCCTCTGCTGTGGCCAGGGAGTGCTTGGGCCCTGCACCCCATGGGAGACCAGGAAAAGCACCTGGCTCCTGGCTCCTGCCATCGGATCAGCGTGGTGCGCAGGCCGCAGCGCACTGGCCGCGGCGGCCATTGGAGGGTGAACCAACGGCAAAGGAAGACCTTTCTCTCTGTCTCTCTCTCACTGTCCACTCTGCCTGTCAAAAAAAAAAAAAAAATTCAAGGCAAATGCTGTAATTATTTTTCTTTTTTTATATTTAATATAAAACATGAGAATGAGTTTTGTGGGGAAAAAAAGTCTGCATCATGATAATGACTTTAGGGGGCAAGTTATTTGTTTGTTTTCCCTCCTCTCTTCCTTTCACATTTTGTATTTAACAAATGGTTATCAGACTCCTCTCCTGTGCCAGGCACCTTGCTCAGTACTGTGCATACAGAAATAATGGCTTAGGCCCCCATGGAGCTTTCCACTGAGGGGGCATCCATCAAACCATGGTAACTCTACAGCTATGCCTGCAGTAGATGCCATGAAAGAGCAGTGCAAAGTACTAAAATATATAACAGTCTCAGAACTCGTAAAAGTTCAATAAGCTGGCTCTAATCTGATAAGCACTGTAACTGTCTTCTAGTCTGTAAGATCCTTAGTATGTCTGCATTTCTCCTGTGCATTTGTGAGCAGATTAGTGTGATCCATTCTGGTCCTTTCCTGAGCAATAACAAAGGGTAACTGTATAAAAATATATGAGAGCAATAG